TATTATTACTATTATTATCATTATTTATTACCTTCATTAATAAGAGTGTTTTTATATGTTGTCGCCGTTTTGAAGAAACTGAAAATCCAATGCTTTCGGAGGCAGTCGGTTACTATAAGATTAGAAATCGAAGAAAACTACCTGTTCTTAGCTGAATAGATTAGATGAATTCAAAAACTGCTAATTTTGTCTGTTCCTTTGTAGTGACACTGAAGTCAGTTATTTCTTATTTCTCTTTTCAGGGCTGAGAGATAAAGTAACATCGTAATTTGAATTTATTTCATTAAAAGTTCATTAATACAAGGTCGATGAAGGTGTCGTAAACATAATAGTGGCCAACAATTACTTCTCTTTCACGTTTCAGCTGTTTGTGTATAACCTAATCTGGTTAACTTTTTTGCAGCTCCTTGCTGTGCAAGCATTAGCGTTTGCAATGGCTAATAGCGCTAACGTAAAAAACAAGGTCTGCTTGGTTGTGATCGATGGTTGGGGCATAAGTGATGAGAAAAGAGGTAAGTTGAACATTTTTCTATTATCGACACTTTGTATAGTACCACCAATTAGTTTGAACTGTGGTTTATCAACGTCAAAAAAAAACTCTTGTTTGGCAGCACTTTTGTGCACATATCATACATGTTTGGTTAGATTTTCTATCTTTTATTACTATTTTCGAAGAAAATTTTTTTATTTGGAGTTACATGATATTTTACTTTGTGGCGATACAGATCAGAGAATAACACTTACTTTTTTTGTACAGGTAATGCAATTGCTAACGCGAACACTCCTGTTATGGATAAGCTCTGCTCGGGTAACTGGCAGCAGATTGAGGCACACGGTCTGCACGTTGGTCTCCCTGAAGGTCTGATGGGTAATTCTGAAGTTGGCCATTTGAATATTGGTGCTGGTCGTGTGGTGTATCAAGTAAGTTATTCAAATGCGTTTTTTTTTAAGTTTTGATATACTTTGTCATATTTCAGAATAAATGTGTACTTTTCCTTCAGGACATTGTGAGGATTA